CAACTATTTAATCAAATTTGCTAAAAATTTTTTTATTTTAATCTTGAAATTATATAGAATTAAAATAAAAAAAAATTATCAATTTAATAAAATAGTTGTTAAGATATTTAAGCTTAAAGTCAAGAAAACTTTTACTTGGAAAAAATTTGTCCTTTTTCTACTGACTCACCCCTATATGATCTTTCAAAACTGTGCAACCTTTTAAAACCATATGATCTTTCAAGATCATCAAAATTACATAATCATATAAAGCATTATAACTACTCAAGAATGTGCAATTTCTGGTAATAAAAAACTCAAATAAGAAAAAAGAACTTTATTCCTTATTAGAACGTGTCAAGGTTATTATTAATGAAAATACTCAAACCCAAAATGCTAAAAGGTGAATTAACTCGGTTGACAAAAATTTTAATGCATTGCGTAAGATGGTCAATGAATGTGAACAATTTAATAGGCAAAATAAAATGCCAAACACATAAAAGGATCGTAATCATAATACATTCTGGATTTCTTAATAACTTTGTAGCTTATAATTAGATTTAGAAATGCAAAGGCGAATATAATTGTTGTTGCTTATATTTATAAAATGGGTTTAAATAGAATTTTCCTTTGAACTTTAATAAATATATATATCGTAATATGTAAAACTTATTTTACAAAACAGTAATATTGGTATTGTATTTCTAACTTCAAATCGGAGATCCTATCAACGTCATATCACGTGTCAAAGAGATTTATGGCAATTTAACCCCTGTTGACTGTAGACCTTAAATCCAGGCCAAAATTTAAATCATCGTCATAGTCCCTGCCATAGAATTAACTCGTGTAACGATATTCCAGATTATTTCCTAATTTGGGACGGTTTCCCTGGACATTTCCCTTGAAATTCAACGAAATTTATTTTGCGATATTCTATACTCTCGAATCTCAACTTACAATGGTTCATACAAATAACGAAAGATCGATCTGTATCGGAGTTTTGGGTATGTATTTTTAAATTTTCCTAGCTGGTTTAACGTAAATACTTGTCGCCTAATTATTAACAGCAAAAAACAATCACAGCTCTTCAGGGGGCCTTTCTTGAGCATATACATATACTTCAACGTATTCCACAGGTTTCGCAAGTAGTTCCAGTACGTAATGTTGAACAACTTGATTCCGTTGATGCTTTGATAATACCTGGCGGTGAATCTACAGCCATTGCTCTAGTAGCTGAACGCTCTGGGTTAATTGAACCTTTACGTGAATTTGTACGCTCAAAACCTACGTGGGGGACTTGTGCTGGGATGATCTTATTGGCTAACAAGGCCAATAGAACTAAAAAAGGTGGTCAAATTTTAATAGGTGGATTGGATATAACCGTTAATAGGAATGAGTTTGGAAGTCAGGCAAGTTTAATATGACATTTATTTAGAAAATTGATGATACTAATTTTCAATGCTATCTCTCAACAGATTGACTCTTTCGAATCAGATATCCAAATTAATCATGTCACAACTTCATCCAATGATCTTTTTCCAGCAGTATTCATTCGTGCACCCATAATTGCATCTATCAATTCACCTTATGTAGAAGTCTTGGCTCGACTGCAGTGTACTACTGGAGAAACGGATGTATCTGCAATTGTAGCCGTTAAGCAGAGTCATATATTGGCAACAGCTTTTCATCCTGAATTGACTAATGACGATCGGATACATAGATTTTTTGTAAAACTTGCAATCGATTTTTTGAATGAAAAAAAAAGTTAAATATTTATAGAGTATACAATTTATTCCTATTCTAAGAACCTCATCTTGTTTAATCCTGCCTCTTATCTTTAATACTTTATAGTACTTTAATATATAATAATTTTTTAATTGTCTTTCTTGAAACAAATTTTGAATAAATACAATAGTTATTTTTAGTAGCTTTAATTTTTTTATTGTTAGTTTCAAAATCTTTAAAATGAGTTGAAAGTTTTTTTTATATTTTGCAAAACAAGTTAGAGTTTATTATAATTACTTTTTACATTTTTCATTAATATATGCTAGTTTTTTTGTTGAATTATTTAAGAGTTTAGTAAAGTTTAAGGTTTTGGGCATTTTTTCTGCAAAATATTTATTTTAGTTTTTGATAAAAGATTTTAATTGTATATTTTTAAAAGTTTTAATAATGCAATAAATCTAATATTAATTAGATGTTATTGTTAATTTGTTTCTTTAAAATAAAATAAATTTGCAATATTTTTTATTTTTTAAAAATATTTTGGTTTAATATATAATTTTGTAACATTTTAAAAATTTTGTATTTGGTTATCCAATATTTGCATACATATTTAAAATACTTAATGTTTTTTTTTAATTTTAATAGCATTTTTTATTGTTTTTTTTATAAAAATATTTTAATTTGGATATTTGTATTATTTTATTTGAATTAAATTTTTGTCTACTTTTTTAAATATTATTACAAAGGTGCAGTTTTTTTAGTAAAATACAACTAAGTAACAAGATTATTTAATATAAAAATTAACTATTGCAATTATATATAGAGTTATAATAGTTTGCTAGTATTTGTAATTAATTTTATATTAGTTAATAAAACTGGCTTAGCTGACTTAATTAGTTTATTTTTCAAAAAATCAACTTGACTTTATATTAATTATAATAAAAATTAAGGCAGTTTATAATATGATCTAAAAATTAGTAAAAAAAAATTAATAAATATAAAATTTAAAAGAATTTTTTATAAAATTTAGAATAATCAACTTTAATATAGTTAACTAAACTGATTTTTAAATATTAATTTAGTCAAGTTAATAAATAATAATTAATACAAATATTATAATTTATTTTATTATATAATAATAGGCAAATAGGTTGTCAACCCTCAAGTGGCAGGTCTAAGGTTCAATTCCCACAGATGACAAATTTTGGAAATTATACCTGTGTTACAGTAACTGTCTCTTGCCGATCAGTTGGGTTTTGGGCATCTGTAATCTTAGATACACCAA